CGTGTCAGTTTGGGCTTAAGTTGGTTGAATATGGAAAAATCTGTTGGCAGTGATGGGAAGCTGGCAGGCACACAGCTAATGGGAAAGTATTAAATAGCAATCTTACGTAACACTGAATTTTCCGTGATGTTGTGAGACTCTTTGGCCACAGAATGGTAGATGGTGACGGTGTCTTTGTACTTCAGTGCTGTGAAAAATGCAAGTCCTGGACGGCACAGCTACGTGACGGAGGGAACTATCTGCCCTACTGGTTTTTCACTTTCCCTTTTAGAGAAGTGCCAAGTAGGTGCTCAAAGCCTAAAAGCTCCATGTTGAGAGTATGTGATGGAAACCCACACCAAGGAGTCAGGAAGAAAGCATGTTTATTTGGATAAAAAAGGCTTGACGCAGCAGTAGTACCAAGAGGAGGAAAATTAGACGTGCTGGCTGAGTGGATGTAGGTGCTGGGATCCTGGCCTGAGAAGGTGATGTAGGTTGAAATGGCAGAAGATGGGAGTTCACTGAAGTCTTTAATAATTTTAACAGAGTAAGAATTACCACCTTAGGTCAGATTGCTGACTTTCTCTTTTGTCTAGTCTTTGATGATATCTAGCTTTAGGTGCTTAAAAATTAGCAGTAGGCCACCACTTAATGAAAAATCTAAGGGCTATTTTAAACAAACTAATTTAAATAAACTAAAAGCAAAAACCTGTAAATTTATCAGCAAGTATTTGGCTTGTATTAGTTTAAATCTTCTATCATGTTCCTTTTAATTCAGTTTTTTTCTCTAAATTCTTGAAAGCTACTAATACTTTTAAATTGCTCTTTTTTTTCCTACAGAAATAAGGCTTAAACAATTCTGTCTGCCTGGTAGTTCTCCTTCCTCTTCATCTTTGAAATCAGTGACTGATAGAAAAACAGTTGACATACAGGAAGAGCCCTTGGATTAAAGGGTTTGTTTTGGGTTTGCTTTTTCCTCCTCTACACCCCCCAGGATTCAAAAATAGTGAGTTGGAAAGACTGTCCTGCCTCTGTCAGTCAGGATATTTAATCTTCTTAATAAGCTTTAGGCTTCATGTTTACCTTCCAGCAGTGAGATCTACCATTAAGGTGTATTTTTTTTTTATATATACATTACTTTTTAATGAAGTGAGGTTTTCTGCTTCAGAGGAAGGATGGTCAGCCAGATAGTTGAGATGTTAGCTTACAGTATCAAATTGAACTCTTAATTTCCCTGTTGCACTGTAGCTTCCCTTGGATGAGTCACTTAAAACCATCGAGTACATCTGTGCTGATAAACGAAAAAGGCTGAGGAATGAGCTCAAGCACTGGATTGATCTGTGATTATCTACAGTGTCTGTTAACTCTTTTTTTTAAGCTCCATTTTGGACCAGCTTTCTCCAAGCCAAGTTCCTCTAAATCTTACTTAGCACTAAGTAGTATAGATCTGGGCCAATCTGTACCAGCCATAGGACCAAAAGTTGGTTTGTGGTGCTCTCATATTTAGTACTATACACTTTGCCATTCATTCCAGCTTTAAAACAGAGGAAATAAGACTTTACATTGTATGGAAAAAATGAATTTCAGATGAATATCAAAGCATACAGGGCAGTTAAATACTATATTAGGATTATATACTAAAAATAGTAATGATCAAGGATCTTCCTTGCATATGGTCAGATTGCCACTTAAATGTTCTGTTTCAGAGAATATTCCTTCTTGTGTTGTGGGAGAGCAATCCAATTGGCTTATTTATAGCATCCATTATTTTGTATTAATTTTAGTAAATTAATAACAATGAATTAAATTCAGCTCTTCAGACTGGCTTTTAATTATCTTGTGTTTAAACTTAAAATCTACTGTGAATTCCATTTCCAAGTGTTTTGCCACCCAAATGCATAGTTTGATGGTAACTATACTGTACAAATACTGCAAACTTGGGATCTTTCAAACAATCAGAGAGGAACTGTAACACTCTAGCTTTTCTGAATTGCTGAGCCAGCCTTGTATCTCTGCCATGCACTAGTGCTGTGTGTACACTGATGGTGCTGACATTTCCATTTACTTACAGACCTTTTCTAGTGTTAATAAAGACTGAGCTTTAGCAAGAACAGTGGTGTTAACTGGTGTTAAGTAGTGTTTCCCTGCCCATGGCAGGGGGTTTGGAACTAGATGATCTTTGAGGTCCCTTCCAACCCAAACCATTCTAGGATTCTATAACAGTATGACGAGCGTACAGTGAATGGTAAATTAATTCACTATTAAGTTGAAATGTGGATATGACTTTAGGATTTTACTTGATGTCTCTTCTTGTTCCATACTCACAATCACTAGCAAAAGAACTATTTATAATCTGTAAATAGCTTCCCCCAATAAAAACAAATCAAAAAACATGGGGCAAAGTAGACTATGGTACTGCAATTGTGTTTACACAAATGAATTGTTTGCTGAAGAAGGGACTTGTTACAGAATTGGATTCACAGGCACAAAAAATGTCAAAACGCTTCACTTGTGCTCACAGAGAAGTAAACTGTGATGTCAGGTTGAACTCTGTCTGCCTTTCTCAGTCTTCTAAACGTTTTCTGTGTTTTGGAAACCTGCAATAATTTTTAAATCAGAGTTTTTTACTGTTAAATTGTTTTTCGTCTTTATACCTTTCCTACAAGGAAAGTGGATTTTTCTTTAGTAAATACAAGTGTTGATACAAGGTCATGTGATTTTGCAGTCCCTAGAGTATTTTGCTAGCAAATAATTTAACTACGCGTATCTTAAATGGTTAATGCCTACATCATAAAATAGATGACATGGTTAAGTATAACCTTTCATGTAAGGATCCAGCTATATTCACAGACTTGTTAGTGTTCTTTCCAATTATTTTCATTATAGTTGCTGTTGTGCTGGTCAAAAACATGCTTATAACTTCTAAACTTGATATCTTTGGTGGTTATTAAATTTACGCTTTTTCTTGTGCCGGTGGTGTTCTTCAGCTTAAATGAAAGATGCTGAACCTACTGGCAGCAAGTGACTGCAGTCAACCAGAAAATCCTCCTCTAGCCCAAGATTCGTTTTTCTGCCACGTGACGGGGAATGGGCAGTGAGCCTGGTGGCTTGAGGTGCTGGTGATCCACTCCGCGTGAGAGGCTTTCTCAAGCCATCCCTGTCATATTCCTGGCTACGTGTCTGTCGTTGGACTGAAATCACGCATCTTGTCTTTTGCATGAAATTGGATTCTGCCGCATCGTGAAAATACAGATGTGTTCCAGATTACATGGCACTTCTGTCATGCGACTGCAGATGCGTCAGTCACATAAGTGCTATCTGCATTTTCATCACAAAGGTTGTGGGAGTAGCACACAGCATTCCATCTTTGCCCCTTTAAGATGTTTTCATGACCTGCTCTTCTTAAGTTTCTCTGTTTTTGTTGGAGGAGGGGAATCATATTTTCCAGATTATATATATTTTTTTTACTTTATTAATAGACTAAAACAACAAGAAACATTAAATAAACTTAAATATAAGTACTATTTCAGGATTTTATTAAAAGTTTGGATTTCAATAGTTCTTTTCTTTTTTCCTGATTGACTTCCTTCTTTTCATCCAGTATATTTGTAGAGACTAATGCAATCTCTTAGCCTTTGGTTTATTGGCTTGGTAAGCCAAACATACCTCTCTCTAGGGAAAAGTAATTGATTCACCAGAAAAAAATCAGTAACCTTCTGCACACCTCTTCCTGTTCTGGTGCAGCTTTCTTGAATGTGGCTCAGCATTGTGTGAGGTCTCAGCGGTGCTGTGTATGGTGGCATTAATACTTCTGTGTGTGTAATGAAAGTATTTTTATTTTTGTATTTTGAATTGTATTTGCCCCTGTGTTCTCTATAGCTTGCTATCATAGTGATTGACAGGTGTCTCTAGATTTTTCTCCTCCCATTGAGCTTAATCGTTTTTCTTGCAAATGCAGGCTCTTTCATTTTTATGTAGTATCCTGTTTTTGTTGTCAATAACCATTATTCTCTTCTGGTATAATAACTTGTTTTTTCTGAATTGACAATACCTCTCAACACTGTCAGCAAAAAATTTCACTGGATTTTTTTTACACTGTGTGTTATAAACACTGTCTTAGTCCAAGAACGATTTGTATTTGCTGCATTTGGCCAAGACTGAAGACCTGCATTCAGTTAAAACAGTGATTTTATGCATTTTAGAGTTCAAATAAACCTATTGGGTTCTTTTCCGCTCCTCAGTTGTTGAAATATACATGAGGTAGTTTGAGGGATACAGTCCAAAATAGTCATTAAACTTGCAACCTTTTATATATATTGTTACTTCAAGTTTTTGTCACCTGGGGAGCAAGGAAGGGAAAACACAAGTTGTCTTTCTTGCTTTATAAGCCCTGTAAAGGAAATAAGTAATGCCTTAGTTTTGTTTTGTAAAGCACAGCTTTAACTGCTCAAAATATTTCGTCCCAGTTCTGTGCATTGATGTTAGTTGAAGTTTATGAAAATTTGTTTAAATCCGTTGAGTGCTTTCCCTTAAATTATTTAAATAAAAATGTACTGAGTTTGTAAATTCAACTTTTATTTAAATAGACAAAATGTTAACTGAATTTTTTAATATCTTAGAGATTTTTTTGGAAAGTATTATCAAAAGTAAAGTTACATTTTTAAATTATTTTTTTTACTCTACTATTTGCTACTGATCTTAATATTTTTTAAGATGGAAAGTTTAATATCAGGCATGTCTGTATTCTTCTTATGCTTAACTTTTTAAGAAATACATGTCTGTGATGTAACTAGATGTGATGGTTATAAATTCTTTGCTTCCTTGGAAACGTATTCTAAATCTGAAGATTAATAGGAGATAATCACATCTCAGACACTGTACCAGGCAAATAGATAGCCTTCTGCTAATACATGCAGTATGAGCATCATTAGGAACCAATTAGAAGGCATTTTGTTCTAAGGTAAACTTTGCTTGGCTTCATCTATGAATACTCTTACTAATTTTTATTCCAATTTGCAGTAATGGAACAACTGCGGGATCCAGTTATGCAAGAAGATGCAAACATTAAAGCTATCAATGAAGAGTACAGGAAAGCCTTTATTTTTATCAATAAAGGACTCAATACAGATGAACTGGGTCAGAAGGAAGAGGCAAGAAGTTATTATAAGCAAGGGCTTGACCACTTGCTCCGAGGACTTAGCATTCCATTGCAGGGTGTAGGGTCCCAATGGGAGTCTGCCAGGCAAATGCAACAGAAGATGAGGGAGACCCTCCAAAACGTTCACGCTCGATTTAGAACAAAACGCCCCACCTGTACAAGCAAGTCCTGATGTGATGGACGCCCCTGCTGGGGTGCCCAAGTTGTACCCATCTATTCCTTCCAAAGAAAAGCCAGAAAGACCCCCAGCCCCCAATTCTCTGTTTGTACCAGGTCAGCCACCCGCAGCAGGTGGAAGTGTTGCCACTGGGAGCCAGGGGCCAGTTCCAACTATGAGTCCTTCATCTGCAAAACCTCTTTGTCTGCCAAACGAAGCACCTCCTGCCTATACTCCTCAAGCTACCGATGGCCATTTTACTGTGTCTTATGGCACAGATTCTGGGGAGTTTTCTGCTGTAGGAGGAGACTACTACAGTAAGTGTACTCAGCCACCTCCCCTTGAAAACCTGGGAGTGGATGCAGACGAGCTGATCTTGATTCCCCAAGGAGTACAGATATTCTTTGTGACTCCTGACGGGCAAGTTAGTGCTCCTTCATATCCTGGATATCTACGTATTGTGAAGTTCTTGGATACAGATAGTGAGATGGCACAGAATCGTCCACCTGCATTTCTTCAGGTAACAGGAAATTAATTTTCTCCTTTAATTAAATTTCAAGAGCTATCATAAAACTTTAAAAGGCAATCTTCTTAAGTTCTTGTTCATCTGACCCTAAATCTCTGTGTGATGATATGAAGGATGTTATAGCTGTTGGAAAAATGTTTTTCTACAAATGTACGCTTTTAAGACTTTTTCTGTGAAAACCACCTCTGTGTCTTCCCAAGGTTGTTGAGTGCTGACTGTTCTGGTGAATTCCTTTTTCTAAAGGAGTTGACCTAACAAGTCTTTTAATTTCATAAAGACTAAGGGAAAGTCTTATATGAAATTAAGGAACTTCCCTTTCCTTACTTAGAGAAGACATGTTGATTCACCTATTGTAACATGTCAGTGTAAAATATCTTGTGTGCTACCCACTTCAGTCTCAATTAGTGGTAAGGTTTTGCAGTTAGGACAACTGATAATTTGGAATTTGAGGGCCCGTGTGAGTCCAGACTCTGAAATACCAATACAAAAGATGCACTATTTGCATTTTTCAGTCCATGATTGCTTCATGTGGGCATGTTCTGTAATGTACACTCTGTTTCTGATCTGTTTTCTGACTTTGAGTCTCATTTCTGTGCTAAGATTGGCTTTTGGAAGTCTCATCAGTGACAGGGGAACTTGGAGGAACAAACAAAAACTGCTTCCTGGTTTTGGGTCTGCTGATTCACCTCCACTGATGTTATCAGTCTTCAATAGTCAGCCAATGACAGCCATATGTTCTCTTTATCTTGTCGTATAAATCTGTCCTGAGATCTACAGGAAATTACAGATGCTGTGAATGCTGACTTGTTGGGCAGTCCATTTCATCTGCTTCTTTCTACACCTGGGCCTCAAGACGAGACCTCAGTTAAGAAGCTACCAGTCTGAATTATAGTCCTGTGAAAATTAGCATTTTCTCTATTTTAGACTGCCAGAACTAATAAAGAATGGTATTTCCACAGTCATGTGGGTTTTTTTGTTGTTGGGATTTTTTTGGGGTTTTTTTTGTTTGTTTGTTTTTGTTTTGTTTTGTTTTTTCAAGATGGCCTAAGGCCATTATTTTTCTTACTAAGCTTTATGGAAAATCAAGTTTGTGATGCTTATCAGTACATTCTGCCTGCCTTTCTTTTTTAAAAGGATCCTTTAACTCCTTTATGTTCTTACATCTTCTAGGTTTGTGACTGGTTATATCCCCTAATGTGTAACCAGTCTCCTGTTCTGTGCTGCAATACTGGAGTCTACATGTTCCCTGACACGATGTCTCAGATACCAGGATCCTATGTGGGAGTAGTGTTGTCTTCAGAACTTCCAGCAGCTGACAGAGAGCTGTTTGAGGATCTCTTAAAACAGATGTCTGACCTTCGGATCCAGGTAAATTCCAGGGCCACTTTTTTAAAGCTAATAAGGAAAAGTGGAAACGATCAATGTATTCTCTCATCTACATTTAGTTATGTAAAACTGGAAAGTTCTGTGTCTTGCTTGGTAAGCTCACCAGTGAGAAACAGGTAAAGTAGCCAAGATGAAGCAACCTAGTAATGAAACTGTAGAATCATAGAATCATAGAATGGTTAGGGTTGGAAGGGACATTAAAGATCATCTAGTTCCAACCCCCCTGCCATGGGCAGGGAAACCCTCCACTACACCAGGTTGCCCAAAGCCTCATCCAACCTGGCCTTGAACACTTCCAGGGATGGGGCAACCATAACTTCTCTGGGCAACCTGTTCCAGTACATCACCACCCTCAATGCAAAGAATTTCTTTCTTATATCTAACCTAAATCTGCCCTCTTTCAGTTTAAATCCATTGCCCCTTGTCCTATCACTACACACCCTTGTAAAAAGTCCCTCTCCAGCTTTCCTGTAGGCCCCCTTTAGGTACTGGAAAGCTGCTAGAAGATCACCCCGGAGCCTTCTCTTCTCCAGGCTGAACAGCCCCAACTCTCTCAGCCTGTCTTCATAGGAGAGGTGCTCCAGCCCTCGGATCATCTTCGTGGCCCTCCTCTGGACTCGTTCCAGTAGCTCCATGTCCTTCTTGTGTTGGGGACTCCAGAGCTGAACACAGTATTGCAGGTGGGGTCTCACGAGAGTTGAGTAGAGGGGCAGAATCACTTCCCTCGACCTGCTGGCCACGCTCCTTTTGATGCAGCCCAGGATACGGTTGGCTTTCTGGGCGCTGCCAGTGCACATTGCCGGCTCATGTTGAGCTTCTCATCCACCAGCACTCCCAAGTCCTTTTCCTCAGGGCTGCTCTCAATCCATTCTCTGCCCAGCCTGTACTTGTGCTTGGGATCGCCCCGACCCACGTGCAGGACCTTGCACTTGGCCTTGTTGAACTTCATGAGGTTCTCACAGGCCCACTTCTCCAGCCTGTCAAGGTCCCTCTGGATGGCATCCCTTCCCTCCAGCGTAGAGGAGGACAGAAGGCTCTGTGAGATGGGAGGACAGAAATTTTAAAATACTAAATTGTAAGCACAAAGAGGAATTGGAGAGCATTTAGTATATTTTCTCTATTTTTTCAAATGAACATATGACCCAAAATGAAACTTTGTGTTCAAGAGAAAGCGTGTTTTTTTCCTCTGGGTGTGGACAGACATGCGCACACTCTCTGTGTAGTTTTGATGATACCATTCTTGGAATATTGTGCCCAAACGTGTTTGCAGTTCAAAAATGTTAAGCCGCTTCAGAGAAGACCTGTGAAAATAGTGTGTACCTCAAAAATCTGCCTTCAAATGGAATCTTAAAGTAGATAAATCTTAGTGCCTTATTGCGGTAAGATATTAACAGAGAGAGAAAAAAACGTCTAGCAAAGGTGCAGTAAGACACAGTGACTGGAACCGAGTTGAAAAGTCTTACCGTAAGAGCATTTCAGGAAGAATGGTCATCAATAACTACTGAAAAGCTCATAGCAAGATCATTTCCTGAAAGACAGACTCTTGTTGAATCACCAAGATTTGAATGCAGTGACGATGAAGGACCAGTTCGTAGCATGCTGTCTGGGCAGAGTTC